TGAGCTATACTTAAGCACAAATTCAATGAACTTGCAGCTTACGCGTGCATTGCCATAATATGCTCTTGTGTACTTTGCATTTGTAAAAAATCTTAAATGATAGAATAAGATACATGAATCCATGCAACATAGTACAACATTAAAATACTATTGTTTTAATGCATATGCATTCAGTGATTATAATGATAGAGTGTGTTATTGCAATAGATTCACAGTGACTTTTGCTGCATTGAGCGCTTTTACTTTTTACTGTTCTTCAAACACACATGCATTAAAAACAATGTAAGGATTCATAATATTTGCCTTTCATTAGTATAAAAAAACAAGTTTTTGAACATTGTTCTCTAATTTCTCAGATTTCTTTGACCAAATTAAGTTTGATCATGAGATATGTTGGAAAGGCTGATTTTTGTTTTTCTTGCCTTTTTGTATTTTGGCTACTTTGTACCGAAAAAAAAGAAAGAAAGAACTTGCTTCACAGTGATTCATTAAGACTGGGCTCACAGTTAAAGATTACTAGTTAACTCAAGGACATATTTAATGCCAGCTGAAACTTTTATCACTGTTGTGTTTAACTTGAATAAATTAATGAATTTGATGCCTTTTTGTGGAAATACTCATACGCGAGTTCATTATTTTCTGAAAAGCATGTTTTTCTCTGAAGTGAGTATTTTGTGTCCCTGTGAGAGAGCAGTGAAGGTCTTTGTTATATAATCTGATATGTCTGTCTCTCCTCCCCTCTGTCAGTGGTGTGATTTCAAGGCTCTGCTCCTCACTGTCTGAATACCACCTCTGTACTATATAGCGTCATGATGAAATCTGCCTTCGTATTGGTGCTTCGGGCCCCGTGTCACCTTTCACCTCAGTGGGAAGCCAAGCCCCTTTTGAGATTTGTGTGTAGAGTGAATGAGGCAAGGCTGCCTTAACTGTGTGGACTCTGGTCTGTGGGAGGAGAGGGAGGCTCTGACTGACTAATTTGTCACGTTAAACATGGACGAGACCTTGGTGAGAAAAAAATTAGCTTTATTTCTCTTTTCAGTTATTGAATGTAAACTGTTTCTCTATCTTAACTGTTGTGGAAGTCGCTGGGCGTGCTACAAACGGCTGAATGTGAACGCACAAATTTGTATAAAACTGGATTATAAGTAAGTGCAGCGTGTTCACACTTTGATCTTTGTCCTGCAGGTGATCCCTGGATTGGTGGCTGTCTTTGTGTTGGTAGGAACAGTTTTCTACTTCCTGCTAGGTTCTTCAGGTGAGAAGAAGAAGAAGCTGCCCGTCACTCTCCAAGATCCCACAGTGAAATATCCTCTCCCACTTATACGCAAAGAGGTGGGCTGCATACAAACTCACAGGCTTAACAAAATCCAGTGTGTGTTTAGACCTGCATCTATGTTTATGATAAATAAGCGTGTAAATTTTTAAATGACTGCAAAAAAAGACAAGATTTGCACATTTGTAGTCACAATATTTCTCTTCAGTAATCTTTGAAATTCACTCAAAGACCCTAAAAAAGAACAATTCAGATTTAGTGTACCAAGAGCCCATGTAAATCCTTCCACACACCATATTTTAAACATTAAGGTCTGTTGAGTTGCATTGTGGGCAATGTAGGACTCATTCTTTCATCAAAAATTCCCATCATAAGAAAGTATTATTGGGGGTGCAGTGATAGATTTGCTGCTCTCACTGTAACAGCCCTGTTTTTGTGCACTGCACCGGTTTGCAGGCCTGGAACGGTCTTTATGTTTTAAATACCCTCAAGATGCAGTTACATAATAGGACAAATATCTGTTAATGTATTGCATAAACATAAAGCTTCAAACTGAAGCCATGGGAGATTTATTAGAAGGATAATATTATATGTATTTTCTCTTTTTATGGTACTGTGGCTGTGTCCTTGTGCAGGAAATCAGTCATGACACAAAGAAATTTCGGTTTGGCCTTCCATCTGGAAGTCACATCCTTGGGCTGCCAGTAGGTACTGTACCAGCTCTTTTCTTTCTCTCTTCTGATAAAAAAGCAAGCATGCAGATTTTCTTATCTGAGCACTCAGCACTTTTAGCACTTCCTCATACTTATGCTGCAGTATAACCGACAAACAAGAAGGCAAGCTCACTTGCCGATTACACCGGTTAAATATCAA